ACTTGGGCAGAAGGTACTTGAAACACTTTCAGTGTCAGCTCTGTATCTTCTGAGGGGAGCCACACAGGTAATATTCTGGCAGCAGATGGGAAGAATCATGGATTCCTTTCATCTCAACCCTTTACCAAGTTGTCTTTTATAAAAGCCTTCGTGGAACTCGAGTATTCTAACCTCACAGTCGTTGTCTTTAATTAACTGACTGATGGCATGTGAAGAAATAGTGTTTCTACCTAAATAACATTAAAAAGTGGGACGCCAAGCTGTTTTGTTGCAATCATTTCTAAACCAGTATCATAGCTTCTCAGTAAATAGCAAGGAGAGGAAAGGAAAGGTAGAAAACCTCAAAAAATAAGGTCGGGGCGCCTGGGTGGCTCAGTCGGTTAAGCATCTGCCTTCGGCTCGGGTCATGATCCCAGGCTCCTGGGATCGAGCCCCGCATCGGGCTCCCTGCTCAGCGGAGAGCCTGCTTCTCCCTCTCCCTCTGCCTGCCACTCTGCCTACTTGTGCTATCTCTCTGTCAAATAAATAAATTAAAAAAAAAAATCTTAAAAAAAAAAAGAATAAGGTCTACTATGTTTTGGGTTTCAGTAATTAGTCTCTGAAATTGAAGGAAGCTTTTTGTTTGTGTGTGTGTTTGTTTGTACTTGGTCCTTCACTCATAAGGAAAACCATTCCTTTATAGTTATCTTCAATCAGAAAAAACAAAAAAACAAAAAACCTTCCTGCAAAGGACGCCATGTACTGTGCAGACAGCTCTCTCTTTCTAAAAGGTGCTCTGTATCTGATTTCTGGAAAAGCTAAAAATGATTAATAACAGTACAGTGTTTTCCTGGTGATTGTACACCTGAGGATAATGAAGTTCTGGCTGTTTGTTTGGTTTTTTTCTGCACATGAATTACCATATCTTAATGGGGCAATTATCTATTCCCTTAATTTCCCATTTTTAAATTATGATTGTAGCACCTCTGTTTCTCTATGTATAAAAGAAAATGAAAAATTCAGTCTATAATCCAGATGTTTTCAGTCATTTTATAGATAAGTTGCTGGGAAGATAAAACATCTGAGTAAATGACAACAATTTGTCTTTTATCCAGATTTAAGAACCAAATGGATACAACCCCCCGTCTAAATTTAGCAAGATGAATTTTCTTTATGAAAGCACTTAATGTTTGCACTATGACAACCCAAAACAAGCACTTAATATTTTAGTCATGTTGAATGGTGGTCTTTATTGAAATGCTCCTACAAGGAGTTGGTCGGTTCTCAAATTTTCCACAGATTACTTCTCAATTTAGAATCTTAGATATTACATATCAGATATTAAAGAGTGTTGCTATTAAGGGGCCGAAAGAGAACGTTAGTCACTAGATATCTGCAGTCACTAGTACAAATTTCACTTATGTAATGAAAACAACACGGTAATGAAATGGATTGACTACATGCAGAGTACCTTCTTATAACTCAAGTTATAGGAATTTATCAATTTTTATTCATACATTTTAGTTACTTAACATATCCCTAATTAATTCCAAATCATACATCACCATTTTGAAACAGCTCATTTGTGCACATATATTAATGTAATCAGAGAACAAATTCATAAATTATTCATTGTAGGGAAGACTCATAAAAGTGTACAATTATATAAAAAAATCAATTTCTAAGTCAATAAAAAGAAGAGATCTTGTTAGCAGGAAGGGAAGAATGAAGGGGGTGAAATCGGAGGGGGAGACGAACCATGACAGACTATGGACTCTGAGAAACAAACTGAAGGTTCTAGAGGGGAGGGGGGTGGGGCGATGGGTTAGCCTGGTGATGGGTATTAAGGAGGGCACATACTGAATGGAGCACTGGGTGTTACACGCAAGCAACGAATCATGGAGCACTACATCAAAAACTAATGATGTAATGTATGGTGATTAACATAACATTAAAAAAAAGAAAGAAAGAAATGTACCTAGACTGAATCGAGATGTACTATAAGTGCAAATCACACCAGATTTTGAAGACTTAGTACAATAATAAAGAATATAAAACAGCTTATTAATATTGTTTAATGTTGATTACATGTTGAAATGATCATGATGCTTACATTTGGTTATAAGTCATCAAATAAAATATATTATCTAAATAAAAAAAAAAGAGAGAGATCTTGTAGAAAACCTGACATTTGAAATGAGAAGTATTCCTTTGGCCAACGTTTAACATTCCTTCAAATGTTACCAGGTTTTTACTGGCATACATCTTGTGGAAATGCACCCCCATCCATTTGGTATGTAAAACATTAGGAAATTCATGACTGTGCCAGAAATACTGAACTTTCCTTTCTTTTTCCTAAGAGTTAATAATAACCCACAAAGTACCTGCCTTTCCCTCCCTCCCGACCCCGGGGTGATTCAACATTAATGTGATATCACCTTAAGAAAGGTGAATGGCTGCAAATATTAAACATCAGTATCACTTTGCAGTTACCACAACCTACATCTTCGAAAATAATGATTTCCTCTAGACAACTGAATAAAAATTCTAAGTAGATTTGTTATTACCTGACATCTGCATCACCTAGGATGAATTTCTTTTATAAAGTAGAAAACGACCTCTCTAGCCGGCTACTGCCTACCTCTCTATGTGTAGGTATTTGTGTACATTAATTGGACACAATATCAAATTCTATAAAATCAGATGGGGGGTAGAAAGAATCAGTCATGACTAGTAGAAATCTACTGTTTTCCACAGTATTGAGCAGCCATTCAAACCTGATTAAAGTGACAGCACACTGGCATAATGTGGCCATTAATTTGCTCTGAACAATACATTAAAGAAAAACTGCAAATTCACATGAAACTCAGTACCCGCCAGGGACCTCAGATGCTTGTTTCTCAGGTGTCAGTAAGCTTTTTTGTAAGCCTGGATGCACAAACTACATACATCTGCACAGGCCATTATGTACAACAATATTAAGAAAAAGGAAGAGAATCATGATTTTATTTATTAATGCGCTGTTTTCCCTTCAGTAGGCTGTGGCATAGTGACCTTTAATGGGGGAAAAACAAAACTCTTCTGCAAACGCTTGTATAAGGTCACTGTGTGGGAAACAACCCCTCACTTCGACCAGGAAAAGAAAACCATCTTAAAAGTGACAAGATATTTTTCTCTCCCTGCCTAAGAGAATAACTGTTAGAACTTTCCTGGTGAATAGAGGATGCAGCAATTCTATAAATACTTTTCTTTTAAGAGGCAATAATTCTTCACTTGTTTTTATGTATGTCTACATATGGCACTGCTCCTTCTCTGAATTGTCTTATCTTTTTTATTTCCTAAATAATTACAAATCTGAATTTAGATAAGAAATTTCTCCCTTGGCAAATAAAACTAGAGAGAATAGAAACTCTTTCTGATTTGACTTTTATTTAAAGGAAACTGTATTCCACTCTGATCACTCATTTTATATTTTATGTTACAATGGGTATGGAAAACGTGTTTTTCCGAAGGACAATATGCAAAAAGATAATGTCAAAAGGATAATTTATCAGCATCAAAGAATTCTAAAATACTGAACACTGAACTTCAGTTTTAGTCACTCACTTGATCTTCTAAGACTTTAATTATTTTTAAAATCAGGCTTATTTTTTGCAAAGAAACTTTATTATTTTTTTATTCAAATTTGATACTCTGCCCCAGTTATTCAGAAGATGAAAATTCTGAAAACATTAAGAAGGTTGAACCAAGTGGAATTGAACTAAAATATGTACAGAGGAAAGCCACAAGGTTCTCATAGCTCTCAGTTACTTTCAGTGGGTCAAATGGAAAACCGAACAAAATCTCTACACTTCGTGACAGGGAAAACAGGTTCCAGATAATCTACTGACTTTCACAAATGTACACAACTGTGCCTCAAAAGAAGCAGCAGAGGTTTGTTTGTTTGTTTTTTTAATTTGTACCAAATTTTATTTAATTTCCACTTAATATGAGAATTATTTCCCAAGGATCACTTAGTGGGAGGAAAATAGAGAATAAACAAAATAAGTAAATAAATAAGTTATGTATATAATGATAAATGTTTTGGAAAAAGATACACTTCTTTGTCTTCCATGCTAGGTAGAAGAGATTTGATTTTATGGAACATAAGAAGGGAGCCAGAGAACCACAGAAAATCTTAGTAGAGAAACAGTGCTTTAAAAAAGGTGCTCTGGGACCAGTGTGCAGGGTGTACAGGAGAGCAGGGAGAACAGAGGTGGCTGATAAGGAGAATCTAAATCAGGGCAGATAACAATGCAGCTGCCACAGCTCAAAGGCAGTGGGAGTACTGAGGTGGTTCGAATCCAACAGATACTTCCAAGGAATATCTGAGATTTAGTGACTTACTGGATATACGCAAAGCAAAGAGGAGGAGAAGCAGAAGAGGTCTTCAGTACTTTACACTAGGGACCGAGAGGATGGCGTCATCAATGTCATTTGCAGAGATATTTTTTTTTTTTTTATGAGAGAGAGAGAGAGAGCATGAGAGGGGGAAGGTCAGAGGGAGAAGCAGACTCCCTGCCGAGCAGAGAGCCCGATGCGGGACTCGATCCCGGGACTCCAGGATCATGACCTTGCAGAGATATTTTTAACAAAAGGAATACCAGGGGCGCCTGGGTGGCTCAGTCGGTTAAGTGTCTGCCTTTGGCTTGGGTCATGATCACAGAGGTCCTGGGATCCAGTCTCCCGTCAGGCTCCCTGCTGAGTGGGGAGTCTGCTTCTCCCTCTGCCTCTCCCTCCCCCTGCTCATGCTCTCTCTCTCTCTCTCTCTGTCTCATAAATAAATAAATAAATAAATAAATAAATAAATAAATAAGTCTGGGGGGGAGAAGGAATACCAAAGAATAGCTTATTTCTACTGAAACCAGAATGACCTAAGTCCTGAGTTTGTGCCTGGTGGTCATAGTTCAGAATTTCCTCCAGTCCTTGCAGTGTTTTTGAACACTTCTGTAATATTTATGTACATTCTTGGAAATGCTCACCAGTTTGCCACCAGTGGTCTAAGACAGGTACTCTGAAGACCTTTTTGGACCATTCCAGGGTCTCCACATCACATCGTTCTCCAGCCACAAATAATGTTTTGAACCTGAATATAAGAGGGAGAGGGAATTCAAATTATTCCTTGAAAATAAATATAAATAATGTCAGACTCATTCTGTCAAACATTCTAGAATCTGACCACGTTAATTCTGTCAAAGGAAAACAGCTATATTATCATAATATCATACTACAGAATGGTGAGAAATGTTATTTGTGTTGACCCAAAGGTAACCAAGTGCACATCACAGCACTGAAGAGAGGTGCCTCAAAAGAATTCACAACTACAGCTTCTGAGTTTTGAGAAGAGCAACTGAGTTGATCTTTGTAATACAACTGTCATATTCATCTAATGATCAAAGATGAAAAACCTTTTCCTCCGTGACATTATCTCTGCTAATTTTAGCTCCCATTTGATTGCTATATTCTACTTAAGTCTATATACAAAAATATAACCTTGAGTATCAGCTAAAGCAACAAATAAGCTCATAAATATGATGTTCTTGTGATTTTGGTGAATTTCTTTGATAAAGATTACTCTGATTTCAAGCACATATTTACCCAAGTCCAAGGACATACAGAGGAAAAATAGGTTATTTAAAAGTAAATACAACTGCGGCCTTCTAGGTCAAAAGACTCTTATCAAAAGGAATATAAGGTTACTAAGAGATGAATATTTGACATGGAGCACCATGCCATAGAACAGAAAGGATGAAACAGACAAATGGAATTGGATTGACACTATTGGTGGTTCATTGAGAGAATGATTGTTTTCTTCCATTCCCAATGTCTCCATGGTCTGTCTGTCAAAAAAGGAATGCATGTTTGAAGAGTTAATTCATTGTCATCAAAGTAAAAAACAAATAAATAAAAACCTGCCTACTTATCCTAAACAATGTAATATAGCCACAGAAGAGTTCTTACCATTCTCTTATCATCTCATGAAAATTCATGGAGATTCAGACATTCCTACCCTTATAGTATACATCTCCATCCTCTGCTATAAACATACATCTCATTCTATACTTATTTGTTTCTTGTCCATTTTAAACAGTGGACCATGAGCTCCTTAAGAGCATTCATCTTCATGACCCGAACACCAATAAAAATACCTGAGATTTTTAGATACTTATTTCTAGAGGCTTAGAAAGATGAAGTATACAGGTGGGGAGTTGGCAAAACTTATGTCAGCTTGACTCATTCTTCTAACTAAAGGAGGAAGCATGTTGTTTTGTTAGAGTGTGGAAATAGACAATGGAACAGTGACTTGAAGAGAGAAAAGTTCTGACTATTTTAGGAAATTTTTAATGAATAATGTAAAAGTGAAAGAACTGAAAAGCAGCCACTTGGCTTTCATAGACTCAATTAATAGCCTAGGAGGCCGAGTAGAGATAACACAAACTGGGTGTAGTACAAAAATAAGGAATGGCAAATCATGCCAAAAGTTCTGTCTGGGGAATCTAGAGTAGGCAGGAGAAATCCGGCAGCGAAGTAGGAATGACCATGATGGAGGAAAATACCAGGAAAAATAATGTGAAGGCAGAGAAATATAATTTCAAACTTCAGAAAAGAACCCTTTACTAGTCTTTGTTAAGAAATGATTTTAAAAATGTGGCTCAATCATTTTGGTGAGTCACCTCTCAAAGTATGCAAGGCTTCTAGGGTAATATTTAAATCTTTAAGAGCACTCAAGGGAAACAGAGAAAAAGGATGAAAATGGAAAAACCAAAAGAGAAAAATAAGAGAGACTAGAAAAGAATGCATCAGATTTTTTTTGACAAAAATATATGTATAGTTGCAATTTGAGATAAAATTTAGGTAATCAAATGTGTATTCATTTATAACTTGCTTCAGATTAAAATGGGGGGCGCCTGGGTGGCTCATCCAGTTAAGTGTCCGAATCTTGATTTTGGCTCAGGTCATGATCTCAGGGTCGTTGGCTTGAGCCCCCTTGGCTTAGCACAGAGTCTGCTTGGGACTCTTTCCCTTTCCCTCTGCCCCTCCCCCCATTCATGGGCTCTCTCTCTCTCTAAAATAAATAAATAAATCTTTTTAAAAAATTAAAATTAAGGGACGCCTGGGTGGCTCAGTTGTTGGGCGTCTGCCTTCGGCTCAGGTCATGATCCCAGGGTCCTGGGATTGAGCCCTGCATCAGGTTCCTTGCTCAGCGGGAAGCCTGCTTCTCCCTCTCCCACTCCCCCTGCTTGTGTTCCTGCTCTTACTATCTCTGTCTCTCTGTCAAATAAATAAATAAATAAAATCTTTAAAACAAAAATTAAAATTAAAAAAGATTAAAATGTGGTTACCAAATATGACCTCATCTGACAAAACTGATATATCACAATGAAACAAATATTAATACATTAAATTATTAAAACTAGATTAAAACATAAAGCTTAGTGTAAAGTTTTAAAGTTTAAAATGAGGTCAATACATCTGTGATTTTAGATGCTATGTAAAAATAAGACAAAAAAATTTTTTTAAAGATTTATCCATTTATTTGAGAGTGAGAGAGAGAGAGAGAGATCACAAGCAGGGGGGAAGGGCAAAGGAAGAAGCAGACTCCCTGCTGAGCAGAAAGCCCAACGTGGGGCTTGATCCCAGGACCCTGAGATCATAACCTGAGCCGAAAGCAGACGCTTAACCGACTGAGCCACCCCGGCACCCCAACAAGACAAAATTTTAAATATAAAAGCCATATTATTGATAATCTTATGTCTGAAAAATGTTAATTTATTTTAATTATATCTTCTTTAAACAGTTAGATTCCTAATATATTAGAAAACTTCGGTGATTACGAACATTATACAAGTAAATAATTTGTATTAAAATTTATAAATAGGTTTGGGTGATTCCAACAGCGTAGGCAAAGAACAAGGAAGTTTTATAGATATCAGAGATCACATTTCCATCGTCTATCAAACCACAGATTATTCCAAAGAACTTTAGATGGTCCAGGTGGTCATGTGTTTAGTTTACATATGAAACTGCAGATCTACAGTTATATATATTTTTGAAAACACGGTGTAAAATATTGTCAACTAAAAATATGAGCACATAACACAAAATAATTTTTGGCTAATCAAAGAACAATAAATATCTTGATATTACCAGAAGTTTTGCAAGTTTCAATTAATTTTTTGGCTTCTTTTCCCAGTCAAGTAAATTACAATTTAATAAATTGGTTATAATGATAAACTATTAATTAGCATTGAGTTTTTATCTGATGACAAATTTCCACATTATATGTTTTAAAACTTAGTATTTATTATTATGGTTTGAGTACAAATCTATCACTTATTTTTCTTAGATTTTAATTGCATTTGTATTATTATGATAGCAATGTCCATGCTGGCACTAATAAGCAATATAGAAAGAGATAATATTCCACGATGCATAGTAAAAGTGATATCTGATTTTTCTGCATGTCAGATAATCTCCTTCATTTCCATTAAAATCACTTACTCTTTACTAAAAGCAGAGGAAAAAATGTGAGCTCATTGGTGATATAGAAAAATGTCAAAGTAGTATAGATAATTCCTTTCTCTAAATACACTAGAAACTACCAATCTATTTTTTTATTAAAATTCCTTAAACTGCCCCAAAGTTACTATTTTATCAATTATAGACTCCCAAATGTGTAACATTAATGAACATTAACATACTGTATACAAGGATTTAAGAACAGAGTATGACTAATGAAAAAGTTAAGTCTTGTAATAAATACATAATCAAATATTATTTGACTCCCAATTCCTCATAGTAAGGAAAACCATTCTATTGATGTGATATTTTTATAACCAGGATGATTACTGAAAGAAAAAAAAATTAGTATAAATCTGTAATTTAAAGGTAAATTATAAGATAATTTAAAGATAAACTCATATCTAAGAGCATAAATAGTCTTATTTTTTAAAAGACATTTCATGGCTTAAAAAAAAAAAGAATAGTAACATCACTTAACAGTTAAATTTCTCATTAATGACCTTGCCATTATTTTATTAATATGAAGAGATAAATGCCCCATATTGAAAAAATTTTAAATAATTTTTCTTTAAAAATACATTTTATAAAGGGGTGCCTGGATGGCTCAGTCGGTTAAGAGACTGACTCTTGATTTCAGCTGAGGGGCTCAGGTCATGATCTCAGGGTCATGGGATCGAGCCCTGCATCTGGCTCTGCGCTCAGCTCTCGGAGTCTGCTTGAGATTCTCTCTCTCCCACTGCCCCTCCCCCGCTCACACTCTCGTTCTCTAAATAAATAAATAAATAAAATCTTTTTTAAAAAGTTTTTTATAAAGATTAAAATTAACTATTCTTGTGCAGTAATTTGGATTCTGGAGGATAAATTTATCTAAGTTGATTACATAGGTCTTCTATCTGCACTGTAAAATATGGTAGCTCCTAGCTATATGTGGCTATTTAAATTTTAAATTAGTTGAAATTTTAAAAAAGTAAAAATATCAATGTCATGGTAGGATTATCCCCTTGTCAAGAGTTCAGTAGTCACATGTGGCTAGTACCTACCACATTGCAGAACTGAGTTTTATTGGATAGTGCTGTCCTAGATTATGATAGACTAATAAATATATGGATAATGTTCTGATGATAGTAACACATGGGAAGATGAATTTACTTCCAAACATATAATACAAAAACTTAAACAAAACTATAATATACAATATCTAGAGTAGGAAAGAAACGGTGGAGGGGATTTATGGGAATGAAGCCTGTATACCTTTCCCCAATTCCATAAAAAATTGAGTAGAATTCAAGACTCAAATGAAGCTAAAAATGAAGCCAAGAGAAACAAAAAAAGGTAATATTGTCAAATTAATTTTAGTTCCAAATAAAAAGGAAGCTGCATAGAAATGGATAAAAAGCTAAAGATAAATTCTGATGAATTTTCAGGTAATAAATTAGGATGAGAAGAAAACCAAAATGAGTATTTCTTTCAAGCTCCATAAACTACCAAACAAGTGAAAATTACTCTTCACTTGTTCCAAAAGAAGTTAAATAAAAATAGATTATTTCAGCGATGCCTCATCAA